ATAATTAGCCATAAAAAATTAAAGGATCCGGATCTTTAATGAGGTGTCTTGGTCCAATCTTTCTTCCTTACCACTATCCCTTTTGTGCCTTTATATACGTGGCACAAAATTTTTCTTTCAAAGCTGGCTAATAATCTTTACTCACTTTTAGAGATATTCTAAGTTTCCGAACCGTATGTTAATACCGGTCTAATTAAGATTTTATATATTTGCCGTTTTTTTCGAAGTTATCTAATCTTACTTGCCTAATTAAGCCATATTGACAATTATTGGCAATCAATATTCGTTCTGATTGTAATAGAAATTGCTTATAATTGGAATTTTCTTAGTTTCCAAGTTCTTCTTTTTGCGTAATTGGATAAGCTGGTTGGGTCTAACTTTACCAAAAGCTTTGTTGTAATTTAAGAAACATAGGTATACTGGGTAATTGACATCCACGCATCTTTTTGTGAGTATGTTTATGGCAAATAGATATGGCAAATTCTCTCTTTCCCATTAAATTTTTAAATCAAAATTTCTTTTCGTTAGTGGTATCAAGTATCTATCTCTATAAAAGACTAGGACGACAAGTCTCAGGTTTTTGGTTTACATGCAAGAAGTTTATTGTTTTAAAAAGTTATGCAGTTGGTGTAGATTGCAATTGATTATATGCATGCCCGTCGCATGCGATGGGCAAAATTATTAGTTATATGTATTCTTTGATAAGCGACTTTCAGGAAAAAATATTTTCTTCATCAATATTACTATTATTCTGCATAGGTCTTTAATCGTTAATTTTTTTTATCTTGTACTGTTTTTTGCGATTATTATTTTTATTCTTTTCATTTGTCCAAATATCTTATAGTGCTTGTATCGTGTCTTGATTCTGTGGTATGTCATGACGGATCGAAGTAATGACTTGTATATTCGCGCTTTTATATTAGTTTTCGAGTTTCTGTTTATGTTTCTTTATATTGTGTCATTTTGGCATGTTGGTCCTCATTGCCATACTTACATTTATTTTCCACATGTTTTTACCTTGCTGTGATACCAAAATAATTTTTTTTCACAGACGGGATCTGTCTAAACACCTCTTATCGCCTTCTTTGATTTTCCTCTCTTATTGCTTTTTTCAACTGCATGAATTAGTGTTACTCCTAGGCTTACTCTTAAATATTATTTTTAATTGCATTATTTTTTATTACTCTTCTCATCCATCTAATTATTCCCATTTAGACGGCACGCATTCGTTTTTTTTTCTTTTATTGTAACATCATAGCCAAGCTTATGTTAGTTCTATCGATTTTTTTGTCACTACTTGTCATTAATATTGCTGTTACTGAACTTCAATATATTTTTATCTATGATCTCATTAATTTGTAAAACTGACGCTAGTTGATTAAAACTTCTAATTTTAATAATCATTTTACCATTTTAGGTTGTAATTTTATTTATAGTAATAAAAATATTCATTTAATAAATAAAAATAATTGTTTTTCTCTTGTCAATATTTTATTACTAAGGATCCTAATTTTTCCCTCGATTACATTCCCTAAACATTTGCTGAGATAAAATCATTATTTTGAAATCATGTTCGTTTCCGTAATACCGCGACAAAATCGCGGTAGAAAGGTTATAGGTTCTTGTTCTAATATAAAGTTGGTTTTATTATAGTATCGTTTGTATGGTAAGCAGACCATTTAAAACATTCTTCTCTAACACCACAAATCAAATTCATTGACATTCTGGTGCTGTTGTGATAGAAAAGCCTGAAGAATATTTAGACTAATATTTTTAGCAGTGGCATTTTAGTTGCATGTAGAGGTAAATCTATCTTTCCATATCTTTATTGTGTTATTCTCACAAAACTTTAACGTTCCATTACTCATGACGTTCATCTGAAATAAAGAATTACAGTTGTCTGTAATTCCCAATTACGTTTTTGATTTTGACCAAGTCAAATTGAAAGATATAATCCACTTACTGTACTCATAAGATCTACCTCTAGGAATAATCAAAATGATCGAAAATATCTACCAAAACAACACAATAAAAGTCAAAGTAGAAGAAGAACTAACCGACCCTATTGAAGTCAGCAATGGGATAAGATAGGAAGATTCCCTGAGTACTCTATTGTTCCACCTGATTATGGATGAAATATTAAAAAAAGTAAGAAATAAACAAGGATACCAAATGAAAAAAAAACAACATAAAATATTCTGCTATGCAGACGACGCAATACTACTATGTCAACGTAAAGATGATTTATAACTTATGCTGTACCAATTTAAGCTCGAAATTGAAGTGGAAGATGTAGTGAACAGAGCAAACAGAGCCGCAGGCTGCCTGAATGAAACAATATGGAAAAATAAAAATATCGGGAAAGAAACTAAAGGCAGAAGTTGCGAAACAGTAATCAGTCCAATAATGACATACGCGGCAGAAACAAGACCTGACACAGAGAGGATAAAAAGTATGTTAGAATCAGCAGAGATGATTATGTTCATGTACACTTAGAAAAATTGATGGTGAGACACTATGGGACAGAGCTATAAGTACAGATATACGACGTATATGCAAGGTGGAGAACATCAAGAACTCGGTAAGAAATAAAAGAGTAGAATGGAACGATCATATAAGCCGAATGACAACAAATGGAGTAAAGAAGTAGACCACGAAAACGATGGAACAATAACTTACTGGAGGCACATTGAAAAACAGACAGAGTAATATCTATATAAAAAAAGAAAAAGAAAAAGAAGAAGAAGTTTTTATTGTTGGAAACCGTTGGTTTGAAAAATGCTTTTCTGTCTCATGTGCATGTACCCAACCTCAAAACATGGATGTATAAATATTCTTTACAGGCATACAGTCTCGTGAGGCCGGGTTTACTACTGTACGTTTGACCGTCTTGCTAAGGCGCTTCGAATAATGTATCGCTTGTACTAATTCGGAGGCTTTAAAACAATACTCTCAGCTGCTTATCTGGAACCGGTACACTAATGTCAAATTTTTTACCTATGGTATCGTTCTTGGATTATAAGCTTTCATTCGACCCCTCATTTTTCATTTTATTGGTTCTAATAACGAAAGAATTGTGTTTATGGATGGACAGGTATGAAGTCGGAATTATATAGATGTTTGTTCTAGTTTTGATAAGGTGCGTCGAATAATATATCGCTTGTATTATTTCGGCGCCTTTTAAAGAGTACTTGCGGTTGCAGCTCTAAAACAAGTCCGATGTCAAATTTCTCACTTTAAGTACCATTTGACACCTCATTTGTCGTTATATCTGTTCTAGTACCGAAGGAGTTTTGTTTTCGGACAAGCAGACAGATAAGGATAATACAAGATTTTTACATTTTTTAATGTTGTAAGATGGGTTAAAACAACATATACGAGGGTGGATTGATATAAAACTAGCCTTTGATATAAAAACAAGTTTTTTGGAATTAAATCAAATTATTTATCAACATAGTCGTCTTTTAGCTCGATACACTTAGTAAGACAATGTTCAGTTTTTTTCTCCCACCCGAATAGTACTTTTGCTCGAGCTCTGCAAAATAGGCGACGATATCTTCATTTCTTGCGAAACGGCGTATTCCGAGCCATTTTTTAGGTTTGGAAACAGGAAAAAATCACTGGCGGCAAGATCTGGGAAATACGGTGGGTGTTGAACAATATCATAGCCCAATTCGTATAATTCTACCATGGTGACGGCCGATCGGTGAGGCGGTGCATTCTTCTTCTTCCTTGGCCCTATCCGTTTCGGACGTTGGCTATTAACAAGGCTATTTTGACTTTGTTTACAGCACCTTTGAACAGTTCGGTCGATGTTAGTCCGAACCATTGTCGCAGGTTATGCATCCATGAGTATCGTCTTCTTCCCGGTCCCCTTTTACTGTCGATTCTTCCTTGGACCATTAACTATAGCAGCCGGTACTTAGTATGCCTCATGACATGTCCGAAGTACTCAAGCTTCTGTTTCTTTACGGTGAAGATTATTTCTTTGCTTTTGCCTATTCTCTGCATTACTTCCACGTTAGTGATGTGATCTGTCCAGTATATCCGAAGAATACGGCGATATAATCACAGCTTTGTGTATGTATCCACGGCGGTGCATTGTGTTGATGAAACAGCACTTTTTTGCGTTCCAAACCGGGGCGTTTTCGACTCAATTCGGCATCGAATCGATCCAGTAATGCTGCGTAGTACTCACCATTGATTGTTTTTCCTTTTTCGAACTAGTCAATGAGGATGATGCCCTTTGCATCCCAGAAAACGTTCGTCATCACTTTGCCGGTCGAATGTGCACTCTTTGCCTTTTTCGGTGGCCCTTCGCCGCGTTTGCGCCACTGTTTTGACTGTTCTTTGGTTTTCGGTGTGTAATAATGCACTTAGGTTTCATTATCTGTGATAAATCGGCAACAAAAATCCTTCGACTACTCGAAAAATCCTTCGAATTAACACGAAGACCTTAATTCGATGATCTTCCATAATCATATTATGGACTTTATAGATTATTTCCGGCATGGTGACTACATTTGGCCTCCCGGGATGCTCATCATCATAAACACTCGTACGACCACGAACAAATTCAGTTTTCCAAAATTTTACTGTTGCTAACGAATCACCAAACGATACTCGACTTTTTTCATTTCTCCGAAAACACAAAATGTGCTTCCTTTTGACAGCTGTTAAAACCAAACTAATTGTTTTTAAAACTTAAAATTTTGACAGACGTCATGCCATGAATGGCAAATGTCAACACCAAAACCAATTCGGTATCAAGTAACGCTATTTATCAAATATCTTATTTGCAGAAGCAAATTATACAGCATATACAGTATACAGGATAATACAGCATACATAGGTGTCCATCTCTGACGTTTAGGGCATGCGTACTTCTTCTGCAGTAATTTTCAGTCTCGTTATTTAAAGCAATACGTCGTTTTATATGGTTGGTGAAAGTGTAATATTTTTTTTAAAATAGAGTTATACAATTTTTATACTCTTTTCAGGCAATCTGCAATATCTACGTCTAGGCGATAACAACATCCATACAATTCCAACTGATGCATTAAAAGAACTGCACCGTTTGCGTCACTTGGACTTGAGATCTAATAACATCACGTATATCGCTGAAGACGCTTTTTCGGGATATGGAGATTCAATAACCTTCCTTAATTTGCAAAAGAATGAGTAAGTAAATTATTTATTATTTCATAGAATTTAGAACTAAGATAAAACAGATTTTTGTTCTAAACAATTTAATAAACTATAACCAAAGAATATAGACGCTAAGCGTCTATATTCTTTGCTATAACCAAAGAATATAGACGCTTATAGAAGAACAGTTCAAATGGACGATTTGGTTAGGGTTTACACTTTAAAACACATCTGGCAGTCGGCTTAAACTATCTCATAAAAGATGTAGTTAGGGGAAAGTGGGAAAGGAGTACGAACGAAGCTATTTATTTAACTTTGCATCTACGATTAAAAAAAATCCCATGCTTTTTTTGTTTTTTTTTACATTAAAATCTTTATTTTCAATATATTAAATTGTTAAATTTTGAGATTTAAAAAGGTATGATATTTACAATATTCAAAGCATTTTTTACATTTTATAACTTTGAATTAAAAATAGGTTTGTTCCAACACAACGAAAAACCGTCACATAAATTTTTATTATACTGTTTTTCTGCCCAAAAATTAACGAAATATTTTTTTAAAATATTTCGTTAATTTTTGGGTTAATTCAACCAAAAATTTGATTTTCTCAGGACTTTTCATTAGCTTTTTAGACATGTTTCCATTATTCTGCAGAAAAAACAGTGTTGTGTTTTACATTTTGTTATTTTATATTAAAAACAAAGAAGAAATTATTAAATTTAGGAAATTTGGAAATATTTAATTCCGGTGATTGATGACTTTATTGGTTGAGTTAATTTTATAATTAATAAGAAGAGAGTTCTTCTTATTAACTATAATATTATTTGTAGATTTGTACCTATTTAAATTACAAATTCGAATCATAATATTTTTTCTGATAGGATTTATTTATTAAAAGTTAAAATATTATTATTTATTTTAAAAAATATTATAAAACGCAAAAATTTAATCCTATTCTACGGCCACGCGGCATTATTTGTTCGTAGTTCTCTGGCATTATACATAAAAATATCTGTTGCATTTGTTGCCCCACTCTTTCATATTTTAAAAGCAATAATAGCGTTGACATGACCGCTCCCTTCTCGATCCACCCTCTCATTCTTTTTCATAACGTGCGATCATCTTTTGCAAACTTTCAAACATAACAGTGAAAGATTCTTCTATAAGCGTCTATATTCTTTGCTATAACTGTTGATTTCGGTAGAGCCCATTGACATATGTTTTACTGTAATCTAAACTGTAATATAGTGACCAAATTGGTAAAGTCGCGAATGTGCATATTCGCTACTTTTCGGAACAAGTAAAAGTAAAAACACTTCGAGCTTTGACTAAAAATCTATTTCCAATGTTATTTGTCTTTACAAACCTGATCTGGAAACCTTAAAAAAACGCCTAAAAAAGGTTAATAATGAACATATTGTAAGTAACCATAATTACTAGAAATATCACATTCGTTAGTTTACATAAGTGAATATTGTTAGAATATTAGGCTCTAAAAAATAGCTAATCTGCATTTGTGTTACAGGACAATGTATTTATGTATCACCTATTGATTGGTTGTTTATATTTTCACACTCATGAGGTGAATGTAAATAATAAAGAACTTTAAGATTAAACAAAATTTATTGAAACGCTAAACTATTTTATAATTTTGTTTTAAAATTTAGAAGATTTGGTTAAGTTGTTACGATTCACATCTATTTCTCGTTGTTACGAGACATCTAGCTCTGAAAGGGTATCTAATGCAATTCTTTGTCCTTTCTTGTTCATTGTTAGGTTTGATTTTGGACAAAATAGATCTCAACGTGTTTGTTGTTTTGAATGTTGTTGAAATGTTGAATTTATTTCCTATCCTTTTAAGTTTTTCTGGTAGTCCTTTTATGTACGGTATTGTTATTTTCCTTATATTATTCCTTGTGTATACTGTAGGATCTCGTTCTAAGTTGTTCTGTTCTATTCGATCAATTGTTGAAAATTCCTTATTTATAAACGATAAAGGATAATCATTTAATATAAAATACCTTGTGAATGCGATCACTTTTTTTTAGGTGAATCATCAAGGCCATTAAATATTAGAATAAGTGAACATCAATCTTATATTAAAAATAGAGAATTTGATAGATCTCAAATCTGTCAACGCGCATGGGATAATGAACATAGAGTTCAATGGAATAATTCAAATGTAGTCCTAAAAGAAACCGTGGTAAAAAAAGAAAAATCAAAGAAGCGGCTCTAATTATGCTAAGTGAGGCCAATTGTGTCGCAAATTCCTCGGCAGAATGTAGTAGGATCTGGTTACCAATATTGAAAGAGGAAGTTATTAATAAGAAAATACCAGTATTAGTAAGTCAGTAACATATAGAGGATACATCATTTATGTTTTTTAAATAACGTAACATATAAAATCAGAATTTTGATGTTTGTTGAAGGTAAACTAAATTCACGAACAAATACTTACAATGTCGGGATAGTATTATGAGGTTTTTTTCCTGGTTTTTCCCTCATAATTTACTATGGAATCACTAACAGGAGAATTTTACTGTCATCATGTCATATGTTTGTCTTTTTAAAGACGAATTACATGCTATGATTTTTTTCTGACGGATATTCTCAAGTTAAAGTTGATTTCATGTAATCGAATGAACTATCTTATAAGTAAAATCATTCCAGGAGCGCAACTCAACAATATTGGCAATATCATTTTAAAGTCGTTTACTTTAAAATGCATAATGTATGTCTGAATTGTCAATATAAATGAGTCAGATAAAATTAAATTATTAGAAGAATCTTTCACTATGTAACAAAAAACTTAATTTACTGTTTGTATTTTGAGAACGATTTCCGAAGTGGAAATTGAAACGTCAATAAACGTATTTTTATCTTTAAAAAAAAAAACTGTTCTCAGAGAGAAGATTTGTGTAGAAATCATGATAAACACGTGGTATTTGAAGATCATTACAAAGCATTTGAAGGTCTTTTGATTTTTTGGTAACAATTAGGAACCTCAATTTGTAAGGTTTTATTTTAGAATTAATAAAATAAGATCTTCCCTGTTTGGTTTGCCTCCCTTTTTCAATGTACTTTATAAAAAGTGCGCATCTGAGTAATCCGTCCTCACGATTACAGCATCTGACAACTTGACAGGTACTTAAACCAAATAGCCTTTTTGAAGGCAAAACGGTTATAGTTTTTACTGCCACTGTCAGCGTCCTCAAAAGCAATCTTATCAGTACAGAAATAAATGAAGTCATGGCACAAAGGCATTATTTGAAATGGTGTTGGCTTACTTCTAGCAGAGCGAATTATTTGGCACCACCCCTCTGGAGTAAAAATTGCGACATTTTTACTTGCTCCATTTTGGCATGAATAGGGTTACATTCTATTTGGGTATGACCAGGTTCAAAAAACCTGTAATCAATTTGTTTGATCGAGGGGTACTCCTTAACAACATTATAAACAACATATAAATGGTAATGAATTTGGAATTTTTTGCTGACCTCTGACATTCTGACAAATTCTGTATTGGTTTGGCCCATCAAATAAGTATAAATGCATATCGATAACTCTATACTGCCCCGGTTTCATTCTGTTTTGTCCCAGACACAACAGGTAATACTCGCATCTTTAAGATTGTAAATGGTAAGGTTGTATACGGCCAGCTTTCTAACGTAGAAGAATGGTCCACTAGCTCCTTTTGGTGTGTTCAGAACGGCTTAGAGATCTGATTGTATTGCCAAAACACTTTCTTGGTTCTTTGTATCCTCTTTGTCTTGCTCTTTGTCTTCTCTGCTGCTTCCTTGCATTTAATATGCTCAGTGTAGAGAGTATCGTCATACCTCCTTTTTGCTCTTTATGAGCAATGCATTTCTTACAACGATCTATAGCAGGTTTGTACTCACGAAAAATTCGTCTGTACTTTTCTAAAGATACTGGATTTTTGTTTTCTTTAATACACTTTTTTTTATACAAGTTCTGCATAATTGTTACATTTAAGTCACTGGCTAAAAATTGGTATTCTGATTTCTTCCCTGCGTAGTGTGATTCCATTCTTGGGAACGATAAAATGTGATCTTTTATAAATATTTTATTTAAGGGTTAACTTTATTTGGTGGATTTTTTTTTCTTGTAAGTCAGATAGGAGAAAAAATTCTCTACACACATCAACTCTGCCATTTTCAGTGGAAAAAGTGTATTTTTTGGGACTTCACTGCTTTTGTCATTTTTCTTGATTTTTTGATACTTTTCTCTTTTTAGGCGAGAAATGATTCTGATTTTGTGCTGGGTTGCAGTTATCATTTATAGTAGTCTTATTACTAGGATTACTGCTTTTAGCCGATATTTCAAGAAACATTCGTCATTTACTTGCTTTTAACACTGCAATCCAAACAGGTAAACTGACGAATTTGTTATTTTGACGATCTGTAATGGTTGTAATACACTGTGATTAAACTGTAAATGTGGTACATTCGCTTGTTTACCTATCGAATATTCATATTTTACGGTTTAGCGTTATGAATAGTGACGTAGGTGTTGATTCGTTAAATTAAAAATAGTCAACAATGACGTAAATATTGGACCTGCATATTCGCTGTTTTACTAGAATATATATCTTGACAAGCCACAGGTGTGTAGTTTATTAGCTCAGATACGTCAATTTTGCACGTTCGCTACTTTACCAGTTTGGTGACGATATCAACATATTTATATACAAAAGGCTCTAGTTTGTGACTTATAATTGATTCATTAATTAGTTTCGTTGCCATGATACTATACTATACTATACTAATAAAATATGCTCATTTGCCCTTCAAATTTTAATAGACTTTGCGCGTGACGTCATAGCGAGACAAAACCAGGGGACTTGTGTGTATCATATTTTAACGATGCACATATAGCAAAGGTTATTTCATTATTGTAATAAACAACTTCGAAACTTAAACTGTTAACGGTAAGTATACCTTGATGCCATATCTTGCACTAAGAAGTCATAACTAGTTACTTTCTGTGAAAAATTAATAAGTAATTTGTAA